CCCCTCTCCTCACTCGGCTGCCTTACCTGCAAAGTCACCCAACTTTGACCTACAGCATCTCACTCTTAACCCTAGCCTTCCAAACATGGTTCTATCCCATTTCTGTGTATCTGGATACATTTTTAACTCAACACATAAACGGATGTATTTTTAACTCTACACATAAATGAAGTATAATCCTTTCTGTAGTCTGAAGAGCACCGTACAAAACAGTGTAAGAACTTGATGACAGTTGCTGGCTTTAAAAAAAAAAAAAGCATACAATACCCGAAGGCGGTGTTGTTAGGTATTTTGTTATTAATTCCTGTCTTTTTCTATAAATGATGAAAAGCTGCTGGGAAATATTAAACACTACTCAGCACAATTCCGTTATAAACCAAAAAATTAAACATATCAAACGTCATGGTGTTATTTTCCCAAAAGTTAAAAAAAAAAAAACAAAGTGCACTGTGCAATTTGACAGAAATGACGTTTAGAAGAAAATGCAGTGACTACGCAGAGAGGAGGAGGAATTAACAAATTGTGATTGTTGTGGAGTGAACGTGCAGGGTCTGCGCACAGACTTAACGGCAGTTAACTGTGACCAAAAGAAATCCACTCATTCATTAAATATTTGTTAAACACCCACTACCTGCCGACTAAAAAAAAAAAAAAAAACCCAAACTACTTACAACCACTAACTATGCTTCGTGGGCCCAGCAGGTTTCCCTAACGCAGATGGCACTATCTATCTAGGTTGAGCGTAGCTCTGCCAATGTATTTCCTGAGCAGCGTTTGGAAGATACAAAGCGTAAGACAGCCTCTGCCCGGCCAGCTGCCACTGGCATCTCGAGGCTGGCAAAGCACATTGAAAACGCGACGCCGGAACTTACGGAGTCCCACGAGGAAACAGCGGCGCGTCAAGCAGAGACAAGTTCCGCCCACGTGAAAGATGGCGTTTGTAGTGTCAGTCATCCCAATCGCCCGTTCCTCCTCTGTGGGAGTGGTGTCTAGACAGTCCAGGGAGGGTGTGCTAGGGAGGTGCGTTTTGGTCGCCTCAGCTCGCAACTTGTCCACAACAGTGACCAAAGGCAAAAGAAGGAAACGAGATTGCAAAGATCCGCACCCAGAGCCCTGCAGAATCTGGGGCGGCCGTGGGCTGGGGGCGGGGCTACGACGGGGCGGGCCCGGGGCGTGGGCGGGGCGGGCCCGGGGCGGGGCCGGGAGCGGGCTGCGGTTGCGGTCCCTGCGCCGGCGGTGAAGGCGCAGCGGCGGCGAGTGGGTGAGTGAGACGCGCGGGCGGAGCGGGGCTGCTGCCTCGGTCGGCTTGCCGGCCGGCTCCGGGTACCAGCGGGGTTTTTTTCTCTCTCAGGGTGAACTCCTCCCTCTCCACCGAGCGAAAGAGCCCTTGGCCTTGCAGGAGTTGCGGGGGCCGCGGCGGTGAGGAGGGGATGGGGATGGGCCTCGTCTACGCTGTCCGCCCGCGCTCCCCGACACCCGAGCTTCTCCCGGGCCCTTGAGGGAACCCTCCCGGAGTACCGCCGGCGCGGCCTCCACCGCCAGAAGTCTGGGCCCCAGGGGCCTGGCCCAGCGACAGCCAGAGGTCTGGTGGGTCCTGCGACCCAGTCAGGGCTACCGAGGGTCTCCGCCCGGGAGGAGAAAGCGCGGGTGGGATGGAGTAAGGACAGACAGCACGCAGGCAGAATTTCGCAGAAGTTTGTAAGGAGTGCAGATGCCCAAATACACGGGCTGCAGCTCTTACCAAGATGTTTCCCAGTTCTGTGGGACATGACCTGGTTGCCTCACAGTTCCGCGGTTGCACAGACTTATTAAAGGAAGTGACCATTGTGACTTGGGCATCACTTGACTGATGGTAATCAGTTGCAGAGAGAAGCGCACTGATTAAGTCTATCCACACAGGGACTGTCTGGCCTGGTCTTATATTCCGAAAAGGAGGGAAATTGTGCATTTGCCTGGGAGGGATTGCTCTTTCTGGTGTGGGGACTATTAGGCTCTTGAAGAGTTTTGTCCCGGCAGGTGGATAAATTTCTAGTCATACTGTCCCCGCGCTTCACCAGTTGTGTAAAACGGGTACACAGTCTGTCTCAGTAGTACTTTTATTTTATATAAAGGGCCCAAGAAACACTGAAAAATACTTTGAGATAGAATCATAAGTCCACTTGGAAAACTTCTAATATACTATAGAAATAGCACGGCGGGGGAGGGGGGAGGGAGGGAGGAAGGGAGAGACAGAGAGAGACAGAAAGAGAATATGTTATTAATAATATGGAATCAGGATATTTGAAATATAGTAATCTTCCCCTCAATTAAAGAGGACGTTCCAGGAGGCCAGCAATATAGCCTGAAATCTCAGGAAACTCCTACACACATATCGTGTGAATATAGGTGTTTCCCCCTCATTCCATTTCGTACACGAATGATAAAGTTTAGAAACTAGGCACAGTAAGAGATTACAAATAACTGATAATAAAGTCAAGCCATTGCAGCTACACTGGAAAAGTCTGTGAATGTGATCGCTTTGTGTTTCAGAGTAGCATACTGTACTTTCACCCCTGTCAAGTAACACAAGAATCACCTGAAGGCAGCCATCTTGGTACTTGGATATCAGATCTGATAACCAAGAGGACGGAGAAGTAGTGGCAGATAGTGTGGAGAACATGAATATGCTGGTCAAAAGGCTGAATCATAACCTAGGAGCAGAAAGCAGGTGATTTCATCACCCCTGTACAGCACTATGTGTCACGTAAAAACCTACAAATAATTTTTCTGGAAGTTTTCATTTACTATTTTTGAATGAAAGTTTGCTACAGGCACTGAAAGTTAAATAATCCGTGGATCAGAAGAAACTGGGGTTTTCCATCTGAGACACTGCTAACTAGCCCTTCAGTGAACACTGGCACTGTGGGAGAGCTCTGAATCAGTTGGAAACTGCCTCAAGGTGCCAGTGCTCTTATTTCATAGGACACAAAAAATAAGATGGATTACAGCCTGTGCTGCAGATTGGACATTAAACAAGCATTTCAATTTCCAGGAGACAAACGTAAATATAACTTTAAAAGTTGGTAAAACAGTCTGTTTGGCTATGTTGGCCACCCAATGTTTACTTTTAGAAAATGACCGAATGAATAAACTCTTATCCTTTGAGCCTGCCCAAGACCCCTTTGTTGATTAGACTGGCAAAGTGTTAGGTTAACAGCCCTGAGAAACTTGGATCTGGGCACAGTTGTGGTGTCATGAATATGTGTGTGAGTTTTGACTGAAATTGGACATTTGTAAAGAGTGACGAAGGCTGGCCTGCCAAGTAGTCCACTGTCTTTACAGTGGTCTTGCTAGTTCCTGTTTGGCTGAGAGGACTGGTTGATGGCTGTCCCCCCCACCTTCCCACAGGAAGTAGAAGCCGTATGATGGTATAATTCTTCATCACAGTAGCAGTGGGCAAATGAACTTCCTCAAAGCAGCCTGGAGCTGCAGCTGATTTTTTTTTTCACAGGTTTAAAGAAAAAAAATACTTTATTTAGTTTTGGAAGTATTGGTTAAGCCCTCGTGGTCCCTGAACTCTGTTTATAGAGTGATGAGCCTTAGCCTCACTCTGGATTCTGGCTTCCCTCAAAAGACTCTGTGGCTCATGTTAACCTTTTGAAGTAGCCCAAAAACACATAAGCAAAAGCCTGTGAGTTTGAAATGAATTTTTGTGGCCACATTTGTATATGGGTTTTCACCAAAGCTAACTTCAGGTGTTGGAAACATCATACTTACAGCTTCCCTGATTATACTTCTCTATAGGACTTTATTTTTTAGGTCATAGGAATTTCCCCTTTTTCATGATTTCCGTTTACATCCAGCTACAGTCCAAAAATATTCTATTCCTGAGATAAACAATTTCTAAGTTTTAAGCTATATGCTATTCTGAACAGTCGCATGCTTTCTTGTACCTTCTGCTGTATCCTACCCAGGACATGGTTGATTCCTTTGTCCAAACATCTGTCTGTTGTATTCACACTGGATATATCCCACCTGCTTGCTAGTCACTCAGACATTTTAGTTATAAGGTCACTTGTATTTACTCATTTTATTTAATAATGGCCTCGTAGCAAGGGGTACTTGCTAAATGATACTGGTAATTTGGATTTGCTTAAGAGAACCCATGAAGTACTTTTAAGTGAAAAGGTAAAAGTTCTCATTATTTGGCGGGGGGCAGGGCACTATACTGGTACGACTAAGATCCATGGTAAGACTAAATCTTCTAAGAAATTATGAAGAAGGGTGGAAAGTTACACTGGTCTGGTCTTGCTGTTACATTAATTTTACAAAGTTATAACCATAGTACACGATAATTAATCTTAAAATAATGAATTTGTAGGTGGATGGCATAATCTGAAAACCATGTTCTAAGTAGTTGATGACACCACGCTGTGCCAAAACCATTAGGCTTGTTCATAGATTTTAGCCAAAGTTCTGAAGGGGCCGGAAAGATGGCTCAGTGGTTAAGAGCACTTGCTGTTGCAGAGAACCCAGGTACCTCTACAGGCACTAGGCAAGCATGGCATACACTGAGGTACATACAGACAAAACATAAAATTAAATATGTATAATCATACTAATAATCTATGAGTAAAATAAGAATAAATATACGTCATAATTAAATAAATAAATTGTAAAGTTCTCTAGAAGTGAGGGTCACCAAGCCGTTCACAAGATGGCTGCGTTGGTGAGGGATATATGTGAGCTAGAAAAAGATACAACTTAACAGAGAAGTTCCCAGTCAAGCTGCTGAAGGCTTTGCTAGCGTGCTTGACGTGCAGACACCGCTGAAGGCCACTGGGAGGCTTTCACAAATGAGGAATTAGAAGAACGTTTTTACTAATCTACAGAAAGAAAGGGAAGAAGAAACTGAAGCTGCCTGTGATGTGGACCCAGAGACCAGTGACAGTGACATGTGTGACATTGCAAAGGCAGGAAAGAACAGAGCTATGGAGTACAGACCTCAGGTGGAGCTCAGCATAGGGCCATCCAGGGGGTTATAACCGCTGCAGCAACAAAGGATGAGCTCAAAAGAGACACCAACTTCTGAATGCAGTGGAGTTTTTGTTTTGTTTTGTTCCAGAAGAATTGGGCAGAAAAGCTTTCAGCTGTGGAAGCTTCTGAACCATTTCCTCCTCCTGATGTCTGACCACCAGGGGTGTCCTAGTTCAGAGATCTAGGATCACCCAAACAGATGATCTGTTGTTGAATAGTTTGAATCCCAATCCGGGGTTTCTACCCCGCCTTTTGACTATTTAGTTCCCAGATAAAAGACACACACAACCTTTATACTAAGCCTTAATCAGCACAAGAGCTGGGCAGATATCTGTCCTCTATGCTATTATGTCTATTTCCCAGCCAATAATTCCATTATATAATTTGCCAGGCTTCATCTGGGTTCCTCTTAACTCCAGTCAGCCAGCCCACATGGCCATTATTGTAAGATTTTTACCCCATCGTGTCTTCTCGCTTTACACACATACACCTCTTTCTCTCTCCCTCCCTCCCTCCCTCCCTCCCTCCCTCCCTCCCTCCCTCTCTCTCTCTCTCTCTCTTTCTCTCTCTCTCCCCATAGTTCTCTTCTGACCCCAAGCCTGAGAACCCTAAACTCCACCTATGTCTCTTCTGTCCAGCAATTGGCTGTTGACATCTTTATTCACCAATCAGAATAACTTGGGACAAGGTTATGTAGTCTTCTGGGTCTAGGTGCAGTCTCTGGGAGCAGCTGGTATTTAGCACAGCAAAAGACCAAACCTCTACAGTGATCACTCTGACCATCAGGTTAGCAGGAACCTACTGGCCTCATGTCAGTTTGTGGAATCACGTCTTATCCTGTAGTGTGTGTCATCACCGGTTATCACAGGAAAGAGTAAGTTCCATCGAATAAGACATATCAGAAAGACCACATTCATAGCACTCTTTATCATTTGGTGTGTTGTTAATAGTTATATTTTGCTATTAATCTCCTTGTTCTTATTTTATAAATTATACCTTACAATAAATAAAATATATATGGTTACTCTTTGCAATTTAGACATCCAATGGGATCTTTGAATTCATCCCCTGCAAGTAAGAGGGCTATTTTAGGATGGGCTGC